ATGGAGAAAAGGAGAGGGCCACATTCTCCCCCAGTTTGCTTTTGGAAATGTAACTCTCAGCTCCGAAATTACTTGCACCATGCTTAGACACCAGATTCCTTAGTGAATTCTTCCCTTTAAACACATCAGAATTTTAAATGTGGAAATATTCATCTCCAACGTATGACACTCTTTGAGACTACATCAGCTGAAGATGTGCTACGTTCATCTTTTCACATACATATTGCTATTATGGATCTACTTCATTCCTTTAGAAGGAACTTTAGATACACTAGCCAAAAGATTGGGGGGTTCACCTTTTTTATAGCTGATGATTTTGATATGAGGTATCTGGGGCTGTAACTACAGGTTTTCACTCAACATTAGGTAACTTACAGTATTCTGATTAATACCTACCAATACAGAACTATAAATTGCAATTTGGCAATTACAGGAGCTTCAGTAAAAACATCACATAACTTTGGAAATTTTGATATTAACATACAGATAAATATAGCATATATATATATATATTTCCAAGCCAGAGCCATTCCTTTATGCTAAAATAATTTTTTAAAAAAGGTGAAGGCAATTAATTTTCACCTGTATTTTCACAGAATATTTCAATATAGGACAAAGAAAATTAGCCAAATTTATTGGCAAAAAACCTAATATAACTCAGAAATGTTATCACTGTGCTTTAGTTGCCCTGCAGTTGTATTTGGTCTTAATTATCTCATTTAACATGAAATCATGTTGTTAGAATTGCCCCTAGAATTTGTATTAGGTTTTCTTTCAATGTAGATGCTTCTTCGTAGACCTACATATCCTTATCATGTAACACACAAGGAGCGTGCACTTCAAAACTGAAAACTTTGGATAAAATCTATCACTCCCAGGAAATTCCACTCCCGAATGGGAGAGGGAGATGAAAAGCACAACTCTAATTCCGAAAAGACAAAAATCACAGTTCTTCCAAATTGCAAGATTTCATTCTGTTCTGTTTTTCAGCTTATATATATATATATATATAAACAATCTGCCTATAACAATTAACTTTATGAAAAAATAAAGTACAAAAATTTGTGTTGGAAAACAGCTTGGACAGAAAACTTCCTGTTCTCCTAACCAAAATATTCATTTGGAGGCTGCATACTAAATGCCTTGTAAAGTTGTGTACTGAAATAGATGGTATGTAACCACGGCAAAGGACAGGTAAACATTTTTCAAACAAGAGGAATCCAAATTATGCCCACTTTTTCTTTTAATGTCTACCAACTGCACAACTTATAAATCAATACTTTTCTTTAACAGTTATTTCGCTATCATTAGCTGTCCAAGATCCTCAGCTACTGAAAAATCAATTCAGTAATTAATAGTGAAAACAGCCTCTTCATTCCTATTTTGCCTACCTCTCTAACTGACAGAAGCTCAAGCCTACTTTTGGAACAGTGACAAATTAATTGAGGAGAAATAAATTATCTGAATCTTTTTGGATGACATAAATCATTACCTGGAAGTATCTTTCTCCCTTCTCTGCTTGAAAGTCTCAGTGATGAGCTTGACTCAAGTCTCTATGCTTCACACTTACTAACTTGCAGTGTAGAGTCTACATTAAATCTTAAAACCAGATTGTGTGTACAATAAAGGCAGACACACAAAGGTACAGACGTAGGTCAAGGTTGAGATGTAAAACTGTGGTTAGAAACATTAATAATAATTATTTTTGCAAGAAAAATTTATTTGAATACAGCTGCCAGCCATGCTTTCAATTACGTGTATTACAAAAGGTTGGCATGGAGAGTGTGCCTCAGCAAATGCAAAAGAACATGGACAGAACTCAAAATTTAAGGACATCACAGCATTTTTCTTTCCTTTAATAGCACAGTTAATTGTGTCACAGCTTTGTATACTGCTGAAATCGGACTACTCCCACTGCTCATTTTCCTCAAAACATGGTGAGGCCAAAGCACAGTTTCTAAGTAGAGGTTTGCTGGTATCTTAAGTAAGGAGATTACCATTTTTTAAAAAATAATATATCAAAATGTATCTTGTCCCTATATCCATGTAATTTTCTCTTTCACAAATAACCCCTTTCTGGCCCTCAAATATAAAAAATCTTGATTGCTCTGAAATCAGGACAGACAAATGAAAACAGAGCAAACTTCCTTCTGACATATCTCTCAACTATCTGTATTTTGGCTTTTTATATGTTCTCATTATTTTCACTCAGTTTTACTTGAAGGTGAAGGTTACATACAGATAATCACATATAACTCTCTTTTTTAAGCCTACCTTGCATCAGTCACTCTGAGGATCAAATGCTACAAAGCACGAGTCTTCTGAGCAGTACAGTAACGTTCTTCAAATGCAGAACATGGGTGACACTCACACTAATATTAGACTTCTTTTCTACAACTTCTTCGGTTGTTTAGCTTAATGATACAGACCATAGTCATATGTTTATACACTTCTAGATGGCTAAAAATACACAGCACATTTGCATGCGAGAAATATATTTACATTCCACTCACTCATAGTTGATTAACGATTAGCTCCAGAGTGACTGAAATGAATGGCCATTACGCTACTCTCTGTGGTTCCACTACACAGTATTTGCACTGCCTAGCAGAATTTAAATTGTATTTTCTTCAGTGAAAGAGCTCACGCTAAGCCAAGGTTTTTTTAAACAGTTATCTTTTCTGCTTTGTTTTGTTCTTCCACAGCTAGCCTCTACGCGTGCTACTTCTTTGTCCTGGCATCCACACAACAGCTCCAGTTCCCTGTGATCACTTCCAAGCAAAGCTCAAGTGGAGGCTAATGCTGTCTTAAACTTTTACAGAGGGAAAATAAGGCAGAGTTAGTGACTGGGATCTTGTGACACAACCGGAATGAAATGCACCTAGCCAAAAGGCCCCAGAGTTAACTCCAATAACACTATGGGCTCCTCTGAAAGGAAAGGACAGTTTAAGGCTATTCCCTTTACCTGGATGGCTTGGAAAATGTCCTGTCACGTGTACTGCTAGGATATGGGATTTCTTGGCCTTTAAAGTGTTTGCTTTAACATTTCTGTTTGCTATTAAAATTGTAGCTGTCTCTTTGGAAAGAAATACAACGGAAATAGAAATTAAAGGCACTATTAAAACCACAATGAGCTGAGGCTTTTAAACCACAGCCACGGAACCCGTATGACCTCAGTGTTCTACAGAACACGCAGATGTGGGGCGGCAAGCACTAGTACTGGTTTTCCACCTTAGACCCTGTCTGGCCTGATTCTTCAGAATACCAAGGTCCAGGCAGGTGCCACAGCAAGCCCAGCTTGGCCACGTCCCGTGGTGCTGCAGCCTTCTGCTTTAACAGAAAGCACTTTTTTTGTTTTTCTAAAAACCTGAGATTAGTTGTCAGCTTCGAAAATCCTGGCCCAACTGTTTCCTAAGCTCATCCAATAATCCAGCCTTAGACTTAGAAGCAGAATCAGATTTTGGTGACATTCATTTTTGTGCATTAAGCAGCACCTTGCTGATCACGAGCGGCCTGAGAGCCAGTTCCCAGAGCGCAGTCTATATTTAGGCGTCTGATTCTTCTGTTTCATCAGAGGAGACATTAAATGTCACATTCTGTTGCACAGCGAGCTCAGGAGATAACCACACCACCAAAGAGCTCTCCTGCTGCTTTAGGTAGCAGCCCAGCGTGGGACTGAGAACAGAGACAGGGCTGCTCGGCCAGGAACAGAGGCGAGAGGAGGCCCCAACGGCACCGGCTCTGACTGCCCTAAATATTTCAGCTTTGAGCTAAGAGGAAATGCAGGCATGGAACTGTTTGTTTTCAAGCACATGGAACATTATTGGAAACATTAGTTGAATTTGTTGTTCTCGAGAGCCAATAATTAAATTCCATTTATAAGTTAGAATTTCTTGTAGGGAGACCTATGGGAGGAAGGGAGCTAAGGTTTTTTCCTGATTGCCACTGTGATGCCTAACCAGGACGAAAAGTACCTTTTACCAAGCTAGAAGGTAAAGGAAACCAAATATTTATACATACATATATATACATATAAGAAAACTAGAAGAATAAGTTCTAATAGTCATTTGCATATTTTAATGAGACCTTCCTATAAAACCATTTAACAGAGATACTACATGAATGTATCCATTGTCCTTGCCTTTCTTTTCACTTTAATCACACTGAAAGAATGTCAGCATCTTCCTTACAATAAATCACTCTATATTGGAAGGCAGAAGCAGAATATTTTATAATAGGGAGTCTTAAATTTGGTTTAGAACTGAAATGAATGGAAATTTAACACTGAAAAGTTTTGCACAGGCAAGCCAAATCTTTTACATTGAGCAATGTTACATCTAGAAGACAGGTAATTACTTTCAAGTTGTATAATAACAAATTGCTTTTATTGCTACTGAGTTGCTGAAGTTAAAGTTTAGGGGTTTTTTTGTGCTTGCACATATATTTCCATATTTTTTGTGTGTGTTTTCAATGATAAGCAACACTGATGCAGTTTTGCTGACAAAACACTTGGATTAATGAGCTGTCCTTTTTTTTTATTTTTAAGAGGACTGAGAAGCTTTTCATAACCCAGCAGTATCAGGATCTAAGCCTCTCAGGAAGTTTTTACAGCAATACCGTACAAAATGTACAAAACAGTGCATCTTCCCTCTTTTAACCTGGAGCATCCAATCCAACTCCTCCTTTCTCCTTTGGCTTGCCTACTGTTGTGCAGCAGGCAAGAGAAGTAATAGGAAGATAAAAAGGTCTAGATTGATATCACAAAAAATATTGAAATACTCTTTTTTTTTCCTATTAGTTATCTTAATATATAATCTAAACAGTTATCTTCTAATCTAATAACTCCATTTATGAGATAAAATGGCTTAAATAACTACTATATGTATTGCAGCCTATCATCTCTCCTGCATTTCCCTTGTGGAAATGATTTAACTCAGAACAAAGATTATAAGCCTTTTTTAAAAAAAAAAAAAAGGCCAAAAAATGCGTGTTTCTCATACCTTCTGTTTGATGATCATGTCGTTGATGTCATCGGGATCCCCCACGGTGACTCTCTGCGACGCCCTGTCGCGGTCCAGGCGGCCGAGCCAGTCGGTGAGCTCTGCCCAGGCCCTGTTGAAGTCGGCCAGGGCTGGGAGCTCCAGCAGCACCGAGGATGGCATTTCTGCTTGGGAGGTGCTCGTTTCCCTGGTTACCCCGCTTTGGGTATCCACAGCAACAGCTTGACCAGAAGTTACTGAAAGAAAAAAAACGCTAAAATTACTAAATAAATAGACTATAAATGTTTATCTCCGTAATAGAGTTCATGCAGTAGAAAGGACAACACAGAAATAAAGCTCCTCATTTTGATGTTATATCTACTTGAAGTACAGAAATTAACACCACAAGAATGCACTAATTCTGTTTTCCATAACATTTCTATCGTATTACGCACTTGTCGTTCCCCACTCAACATACTCAGATCCCACCTTCAAAATACCACCGGGCCCTCGTAAATACCAGCAAAGCTATCTCAGTGCAACAGAAGCACCTTACTCAAGGTCACGGAATTTTGTATTTTGCTACACAAAAACGATGACGAGTTTTGCTAGTCACCTTCCAAGACACAACAGCAGTGTGGCTGGACGCGTCTCCAGGCCTGGAGGCTGAAGGATGCAACGCAACTCTAACACCTCCTGTATCACAGCACACCCACGTGCCTAGAAAAACGTTTCTTCCAGTCACTCCGTAGCTATGAATTTGCCTCACTGACAATAATCTTCTCACTTATCACCAAGTATTTCCCCTAGGCCCTGTGGTTGATATGGGAGCTGGCACAGCATGCAGCTCACCCCTGGCAGCTTCTTGCTTCTTGTTCTTCCGAACTGAATACTATTTAGTTCTTCATCCCCTCCAGGAGGAAAATTTACCCGAGTAAATATTTTCTCACTTGAACAAGATCAGGATCAGACCCAACCATGCAGGCTAACAGCTAGCAACAGTTGATGAGTAGGGCAATTTCTGTGGCAGTTTATATGTTTCACGTGAAAAAAGAGCAGAAAACCAGTCGGCATCGGAACTGAGTTGCCTCACAGGTGGCATATATATGCACACACATTGAAAACACACAGGATTTAGGGAGCAAAGAGGCCAGTTTCAGGGTAGAAGCTGTACTGATAAGAGAAAAGGTTCACCAGGTTCTTCTTACCCAAAACGAGTTGCTACCAAATGCAAAGCTTTCAGTAACTAATAAATAAATAAATAAACACTGTTGATCTGCAGGAAGTGGACCTACTCACAGAAGCTTATTTTCTTTCCCTATCTTCAAGAAAAAAAAAAAAAAGACAAAAAAAATATCCATTGACATTCCTTGGAAGAGTCATACTAGAGAACTAGGAGTAACATATTATAGGAGCTTACTTGAGAGGCTATTCATAAAGTTTTCCCTTTCTCTTTGCACAAAATAGCTTCATAGCTTGTTTTTTGCTCTTTCTTCATTTACTGGTTAGGTTTAAAGAAATCAGTTCATCAATTCATTGCTTGCAGTGGAGGAGGCTGAGACACAGTGCTTTTTTCCCTGGCATCCACAGTGATGAGAGTTGTCATAGATAATTTCGATGCAGGAAGAGCCATATAACTGGAGATGATTCAAAATTTCAAGACCGATTTTTACATCTGGATTTGACGTTTGCAAATAGATGGTCATAAACAATAGGGCTTTTATTTATTTATTTATTTATTTATTTATTTTCCACTCCAGTTAATCATACAAAGACAATTAATAGCTCAAGTTGCTAACATAAGAGCAATTTAGAAAAGCAAAAAGAGCCAAAAATCTTTTTTTTCAGGACTGCAGATTTGAAAATTCCATTTGCACAGCATATTTTTGAAGATGTAGCATACACAATATGGCATGGCTACAAAGAAGGGTTATTTTTTTCCCCACATTCTTTAAAACAAGAAAGAGAAGAAAGGAAAATAAGAGGAAAAATACTAAATCTAGAAAAATAAAAGAACACCTGAAGTTGCTTCATTGTAAAATTGCTAGAAGAATGCTCTATCATTAGAAGAAAAAACGCAGAGTCTAAATGACTGTTTTCTAGGGTAGCTGCAGAATCCTGATCTGAATAAACTGCCTTAACCCCACAGCAGGAAGAGAAAAGAAAAAAAAATAGAAACAGGAGAGGTGAAATAAAGCTGTGTGAGTTGCCACCTCTATGAGCATACTATCAATTTTTGAACCCTGAGCTGGAAAATAGAGCTGCTGAGAACTAAATATACATTTTTACAAACAACAAAGCAATGTTTTTTTTTTCCCATGCTGCTTCTGAAGTACAGAAGAGGTGCGTGCAGTCTGCGGGTCAGACCGGCTCCAAAGCAGCCCTCCACACAGTAACTGTTCTTGCTTTCACGTGCTTCAGCAAGGGACCCTTGGCCGTTTCCTGCACTTGCATTCCTGCCATTCCGCAGAGCAGGTCGGAAGCCTCAACACCCAAGTGCCAGGTGAAGGTTCAGCAGCTCAGCTACAGCTGCTTAAAACATTAACTGATTTTGCCAAGAAACTGGGCAGCTATTCACTGATGAGAAAATGTTTGCATGGCTTCATTGGCAGATCAGTGACCCCGTGCAGCACTGCAGGAAAGGCAAAAGCTGCGCACAAACATCTCGGTGACTGGCACTGCACACGCACTACAGTTTGCTGTTATCATTAAAAAAACTGAATGATTACAAACAATTTACCAAATCAGCCAATATATACATTATTTATTGAGTCTCACTGAAAGTGACTGTTGTAAGTGCTATCTTAACTACACACACTACAAGTAAATGTATCTATCTGCCAGCCCACGTAGTTATCATATTTCTGAAAGGCAGCCCCTGTACATCTTTCTGCGATGCACATCACACATCTGTGAAACTTGACAAAATAAAATAATTCTTTGAAAAGGCTGTTAAAACGTATTTTTTTATCAAAAATCACACAAACAGATGAGGAAACGGAGCTTTTGTAAGGGTTTTCTGATAACACCATGGTGGTCACTATGATGGGGTACTTTACATGATATCACAGACTTGCACTTTTTAATGTCCACATCAAAGCAGATGAGTTTCCCTTTGCTCCCCCTCCCCACGTTATTTCATTTTTACAAGGTTTTACACACACGTGTGAATAACCAGCAGTCTCCCCAATCCACCCCCATGAGGGTTTCTTCCACCTCGTCTGCCGCGACTCCAGGCACTTCCCGCGCTGCTCCAGGCCTCCCCGCAAACAGCGCAGGGATGTCGCTCCCAGGAGGGGGCTCTGGGCCTGGGGGAGCTGCCCTTGACCATCCCTCAGCTCTTAGACGCTCTTTTCCCCTCTGCTTTTACTGGAGGGCTGTGGGGAGCGCCCGCCCGGCGCGCAGGAGGCGCCGCGGGGCCCGTGCTCCCCACCACCGGCCTGAAGGGGCTGAATCCGAGCCCCGTGGCAGGGCCTGGCTCGAGACCCCAACCCGCCGCGCGCTCCCCAGCGGGCCGGGGGCTGCAGGAGGGGGTTCTAAGGCCCCCTGCACCCCCTCTTCTTCCACCTCCCAAAATGTGGGTCTTGTTCCACGGGAGGCAACCTAGCGTCACTCTTAAAGGCCACATATAAAACAAGGCCAAATCAAGGAGAAAAGGTGATGGAGGGGAGAATAATGTGTTAAGATCTGCAGAACAATGAAGAGGGAAGGAGGGAAGGAAGGAGGGAGGCAGGGAAGGAAGGAAGGAGAGAGGAAAGGAGGGAAGAAGGGAGGAAAGAAGAGAAGGAAGAAGGGAGGAAAGGAGAGAAGGAAGAAGGGAGGAAAGGGAGGAAGG